TATCGGGGGGTGAAAGATGTCAGTTGGGATCCCAGGGGTGAGACAGGATCTCTTTCCACCCAGCAAGCAGGGCAGAGCTCTGCTGATGCATGCTGCTATGGAAAGCAGTTAGTGGAGCCAATAATATGCATCTTGGCCCTTCATTCCTCTGTCCCTTGTCATGAGCCATAGCCAGAAGATGTCTAGACCAGTGGGATTTCAGGATGACCCTTGATTTGTCTCCCACCCTCTGTGTATTAAGTGAACAGTACAGTGGACAAATTGCTTGGCTGAAAGAGTGAACAATGATATTCTGAAAACAGGATATCAACTCAGTCTTTATGGATGAGTGTGGAATTTAGTGGAGATACACACTGATTTACATTTTTTTAAGAGATGACACTGTGGTAACCTCTTTCCTTAACCACAGATTAAAATAATTGGACAGGCTCACAAACAATTCTTCCCTCTGCCTTGTAAGAGCAGCCTATCTTTGTGCTGTGTCCATGTATGCTCCTGCCTCCCTTTTCCTTACCCTTCTAGGCAGAGTCTGCAGCAAAGGCTGATAGAGACCCTGACCTACCAGGTGATCAGAGCCAAGGATCATATCCAGTGCTCTCCGACCTGGTGGACATGCTTGTCATGAAAGTGCCCTGGGGGTGCAAATTGAGAGTGTGTCCAAAGATGTAGCCTGATGGGTGCTTCCTGCCAGCAAAGATACTGGAATCACAATCCTCTGCCCCTGGACTATTTCCTATGGATCCTCAAACTCTAAGAGACACATCGATTCACTTGTGAATCTATATTCATTTAATATTCATGTGTTTGTCAGACACTATCCTAGGCATTGGATTGACAGTCATGAAGGACGAGGTTTATTGAGATACAATCAACACATAACATCGTGTAAGATTAACGTGTATAGTATGATGATTTAAGACACATATATATTGTGAAATAATTACACAGTAAGGTTAGTTACCACCTCTATCACGTCACATAATTTTGATTTCTTTGTGTGTGTGATGAAAACATTTAAGATCTACTCTCTTAAGTGGGGAGGGTATAACTCAGTGGTAAAGCATGTAGGAGGTCCTAGGTTCAATCCCCAGTACCTCCATTAAAAAATAATAATAATTTTGATAAAAACTTAAAATAAGTAAGATCTACTCTCTTAGCAACTTTCAAGTATATAATTCAATGCTAATACCTATAGTCACCAGACTGTACCTTAGATCCCCAGAACTTATACACCTTATAACTGGAATATTATGCCCTTTGACCAACATCTCCCTGAGTTTTGAAAGATGCATTGTACAGGAGAGAGATCTCAATGCATGAGGGGGCTGTGCACCAGGAAATACTGCTGTTGAAGTATTTGACCCAGATTTGGTGAGATATCTCCTAAACATAATCTTGAATCTTGAATCAGTAGATAAAGATTGGGGAATGGCCATGAGAGGAAAGAGCGTATGAAAACTGTAAGAATAATTATAGGGTGGTTGGGGAGCAAAACTATTTGAGTACATCTCAAGCATGGAAATCATTTAGAGGGTCACAAGAGATGAGGCAGGAGAAATGGGTAGGGATCCAAATATGAAAACTTCATCTAAAATAACTGGAGAGTCATTAAGGAATTGTCCAAGAGTATTACCATTTTTTAAATAACCATAGACTCTATTTTGAGGAAACTAGTGGAGCAAAGGACTACAGCCAATAGACCACCCCTAGATTAAACTTTGGAACTTTTACTGACATGATGTCATCTTCCACATTTCTTTACAGGAAGGAAAAATATCTTTGTGCTGTGAGTCCCTAATTAAACAGATCTGAAACCAACAAAGGAGATATTATCGGTCCACATTCATGGACAAAGGAGCTAAGAATGACATGGAGAGTGACATCCAAATATTCCATCAGGTGAGTGAGAGGTAGGGATGGGCGTGCACTTAGATTCTGGGAGACTTTCATAAAAAACACAGGAAAATTTTTGATCAAAATGTGTTCCTCACATTTAAAGATTCCCAGGAAAGACTGATTTACAATCTTATTTTGGTCTCCTATCCGATGCCATAGTCATCTTCACTATTTGTGACGTCGTCGTAGAAGACTTCAGTACCTCCCAGCGCCCTCAGTCATGCTGGGGAAAACATCACTGTGCTCAGTGAGTTCATCCTGGTGGGCTTCCCCACCGCCCCCTGGCTGCAGGTCCTGCTCTTCTTCCTCTTCCTTGTGGTCTACCTGCTGGTGGTCCTAGAGAATCTTGTCATCATGCTCACTGTCTGGGCCACTGGCTCCCTCCATAAGCCCATGTACTATTTCCTGAGTAGCTTGTCCTTCCTGGAGGTCTGGTATGTCTCCGTCACAGTCCCCAAGATGCTGGACGGCTTCCTCCTGCAGAGACGGCGCATCTCCTTCACAGGGTGCATGACCCAGCTCTACTTCTTTATCTCGCTCGCGTGCACGGAGTGTGTGCTCCTGGCAGCCATGGCCTATGACCGCTATGTGGCCATCTGCCACCCTCTCCAATACCCGGTCATCATGACCACAGCTTACTGTGTGCAGCTGGTGGCTTTCTCCTATGTGAGTGGTTTCATGGTCTCTGTGATCAAGGTCTATTTCATTTCACACGTTGCCTTTTGTGGCTCCAATGTCATGAACCACTTTTTCTGTGACATCTCACCAATCCTCAAGCTGGCCTGCAAAGACATGTCCACGGCTGAGCTGGTGGACTTTGCCTTGGCTATTGTCATTCTTATCTTCCCTCTCACCACCACCATCCTCTCCTATGTCTACATTGTCTCCACCATCCTGCGCATACCCTCCACCCAGGGAAGGAAGAAGGCCTTCTCCACCTGTGCATCCCACCTCACTGTCGTCGTGATTTATTACACAGCCATGATTTTCATGTATGTTCGGCCCAGAGCTATCTCATCGTTTAACTCCAACAAACTCATCTCAGCCGTGTATGCAGTCCTCACACCCATGCTAAATCCGTTCATCTACTGTCTGAGGAACCAGGAAGTCAAGAGTGCTATCAGAAAGACTGTGGGGGTTGGCCAGTGCCTTCTGCTCAGCTGAGCCGTCCCGCCCAGCAAGTGCAAATATGCACTTATCATCCTTGTGCATATTTGCTTGGGCAATAGATCTGGAGTCTTAAAGCAATCACAGCATTTAAAAAGACCAAAAAAAAAATTAAAAATTGAAACACATTTTGAAAGACAACAATTGAGTACACATTCTGTATCACTTTAATCCAAAATACATTTAATGTTCACTCTATACAATTTAATAAATTCTTTGAGAGAGTAATAGTAAATGTTAACATATGTAAAATGGTGTTATTAGCCCTTTATACCTAATAAACTATTCTCATAACACCTGTATGAATTAGTTATGTTTAGTTACTTGATTTTAAAGATCAGGAAACTGAAACACACAGAGATTTAAATCAGTTATCCAAGATTGCACATTGTATTAAAATATAAAAGCTATTATTTGAACCCAGAGAGTCTAACTTTATAACCCTGTACCAGACTGTATCTAAGAGTCTGTGATAACAGCTCTAAGGGATACTTTTGTCAACAAGCATTGACGTCTGGAAGGAATGAGCCGTTCAGTACATAAGATACGTGTAGCTGTGATGATAAATGATAATGGTGAGGTAGTGATGGTGATGACAGTGCTATTTGTGATTACACTGGGTTGGTGATGATGGACTATTACTGATATTCATAATAATGTTGGCATTTCCCAGTTCTCTCCCAATTTTAGCCTCATTACAGGGGTGGGATTGGTTTCATGAGATATGAAAGAATCAATATTACTGCAAATTTTGCAATTGATATGTGTCTTGAGACACTCTCTTTTGGGCTCTTAGATTCTTGTGGACTTTCATGCTATACCATGACTAGTAAAACCAAAGTCATGGAATATCATTACATCAGTGTTTGCCTGAGCTGAAAACCTCAAAACATCAGTATATAGCATACATCCTACATACAAGTTAGGTGAAAAACAAATGAAAAATTTTCTAAGACAACCGCAAGTATTAGATACCACAGGGGGACTCTGCTGACCAGGTAGGAAAATATAGAACACCAAGGAGAATCTACAAAATTGAGCAAACTGAGACTAAAATATGAAAGAAATAATCAGAAAGAGCTACCTTGATGCTATACCTTGTCCATTTGAAGTTGGAGTCTAAAGTTGGTCTCCTAATTTTGACATAAGCCCCCCTTGATATATTATTCAACATTCCTGGACTAATCTTTCTTGATATTGCTACTCATATATTGTACTCTGCTACTTAAGATTCTCAATTTGAATTAAATAGGACTTACTCATTCTATTATTATTTTAGAATCACTCTAGCATTAATGAGCCTCAATAATACCTAATCTTTTCCCCACCTACACCAACTCAACCTAATTTTTTTTACTGATCTCCAATATGAAACATCCATTTTGATATTAGTCCCAGTGGACTCAATAATTATAATATATTAATTCTTATCTTTTTTATTGTTGTATAGTTGATTTACAATGTTGCGTTAATTTCTGGTGTACAGCATATTGATTCAATTATATATATATACCTTTTTATATTCTTTTTCATTGTAGGCTATTACAAGGTGTCAAACATAGTTCCCTGTGCTATACAGTAGGAACTTGTTTATCTGTTTTATATACAGTAATTAATATCTGCAAATCCCAAACTTTCTTAACTTCATTCATTCATTCACTATTTCTTGAGCCCCCAAAATGGTCAACAACAACTGCAAAAACAGACACAGATTCTTCCTTCAAACATCTCAGAGATGAGTAGAGAAGATGAAGGTGCAATTACCTTTAGTGTTAGTAAGTGTGATGATGTGAGTGCAGGGTTCTATGGAGGCAAATAATAGGTAGACCCAGGATGATCAGAGAAAATGCTCCAGCAGAAGTAGCATGTAGGCTAACACTTGAAGGAATCAGCCAGATGAAAAATGGTGGGCAGTACTAATGATCAGGCGTTGCAAACTGGGAAAAGGCCAAGCGTGAAGAAAGACAACGGCACACTCAAACACCTGAAAGATCATTAACACAGAGTGACATAATGAAGAAGGGATCATGCGAGGAAGTAGCATCATGTTTACCGACCCAAATCTTACCAGCCTGTGAATTTCCTCTTACTGTATAGGTTTGTGGATGCGTAATCAATTCTGCAGAGGCAGTTTCAGTTTCTGCAAGTACTACTGTTGCTGCTGTGAAGGAAAAGCCCAGCTGGGCTAACAAGCTAAGTCACAAATCTAAGTGTGATAAGTGTCGGTTTACTGATATAAGTTCTGCTAGGCTAACTTGTAAATCTAAAGTTTAGTGTCAGTTTACTGGGCTAACAAGCTAACTCGTAAATCCAAGCTCAACAAGTGTCATAACGTGATCTGTTCCAAATTGATAAGCTCCAGTGTACTGATTCCTTGCTTTTTGTTGTTTGAACCTTATTGGCTAATAGCCCCATACTTGTAATTAACCCTATAAAACCTCATGTGCATGTCTTGGAGGTGCTCAGTGCTTTGGAGCAGAAGCCCCTCTGAGCCCGCTGGCGTAATAAATCTGAGTACTCCAACCCTCCGAGTGGTGCTTGTTTCTTGGCTGGCCTGTCATTTCCGTAACACTGCAAAACCAGCCTCTGTGCCCCAAAGATGGACTGAGACTTGGAGGCAGTTTGGGAGAATCCAAAGAGAACAGCTGTACTGCTTTGCGAGGCAGAGGAGAATCACCGCAGGCTAATTCCTTAGAGACTGAGTCCATCTTGGGTTTGGGGTCTTGAGGTTTTATTAGAAAAACTGGATGGAACAGAAAAGGTTTTTTAGCATCAGGGCACTTTACAGGGTGCTACATTCCTCTTAACCTCGATCATCTTCCTGGTGCAGGGAGGAAATGATCGGCCCATTACCTCCTTCCTGGAGCATAGCCCCTGGGTTAAAGCTATTGTCGTAAGGAATGTAAGGGAAAAGTTTGGGAGTTGTTTAGTACAAAAGCAGTAAGGGAGAGAAACCAAACTGCAGGATTTCTTAGTCAAAAGAAATCAGCAAACAGTTTTAGCATCAGGGAGTTAGTTTGTTTGCTGCTCCTTCACTAGAACTTCAGCTTGTTGCATTTCTACCAGGTAAACGGCAGTCAGGCAGTCACGAGTGAGGCAGGAACAAAGGGAGTAGACTTTCAATACTCGGCCTTCATTGTAGCACCTTTTCATTCTGAACAATTGACGGAAGTTTGTGAATATCGGTAGGTTGTGAGTTTCTCTAGGGCAGAAAACTAACCTTATGCATTCTTGAATCTACATTATCGGCCACAGTCCCTGACACTGTAGGCACCTGTGCTGGTTACTGTCTATTTCCCACCCCCTAGGTTTAAGTTAGTTTACTGCCCAGAACTACTTCTCTTTTCTGCTTTTAGGTTGCATTTCTTCTCTTATCGGAGTAAATAAGACTATAAGATCTATAGAAGAACTACCCCAATATAGTTTATATATTTCCCCAGGTGCTTCTCTTTTGCTCACTCAGGTTTACTATCTTCTAATAAAAAAACATAACTAGGCTTTTAAAACAGCCTCACTGGCAATGGGGTAAGTGGCAAAATATTGGGAAAGTAGCAAAATATTGGGAAAGTAGATGGTCTTGTGAGGCAAATATTTAGCTCAAGACTCTGGCATTACCAACTGTTAGCTTTGTTTTTCAGTTTCTTTTTTAGTTTTTTTCCATTTAAAAAAAGTTAACTGTGGTTCACTTTTTAAAAAAAATTTTTTTACTGAAGTGCAGTTGATTTACAATGTTAATTTAAGGTATAGAGCAAAGTGATTCAGTTATACATAGACATACACATTTTTTTTTAATTTCAGATTCTTTTCCATTATATTATACAGCAAGAAATTGAATATAGTTCCCTGTGCTATACAGTAGCTCCTTGTTGTTTATCTATTTTATATATAGTAACATGTGTCTATTAATCCCCAACCCCTAATTTATCATTTCTCACCCTTAGTTTGGTAATCATAACTTCTTTTCTACAGGACTTCAATTTCTTTGAGATTCAGTTTCCTCATTTGTGAAGTGTGGGTCAAAAGTTGGTATGAAGATTAAATGAAAATGAATACACGTGAAGGCACCTGGTGCAGCGTTTGACATATACTGCTGTATTATTCAACAAAATACAAAGTACAGGACTGCTCATGATATCTTTAAAACTCAACCGGAGTCTGAAGTCTTCTATGACACTTCTTCTGTTTTCTTCAACTTCCAGCTTGTGCTGATTTGTCCCCACACCTGTTGGGAAGAAATGACCTCTACCTCGGCTTACCTTCTGTTCAAGGTGATGCTATCTTGGTTATAACACTCTTTAGACTTTGTCTTATACTGACAATGATTCAAATACACATATTATTTCCCATACTTGATTGTAAGTTTCTTTATGACTCACAATTACTAAAAATGATTATGTATTCAGTGATCAATAAAAATTTAAGGAATAAATCCCTACCTGAATGTATCTCATACTTCCATACCGTCCAAATTTTCTGGCATAGTTCCAAGTTTTAAACATTCTGTTCTCCTCCAACTCTTTTTTAGACTGAGGCAAACGTCATGCATTAGTTCTTCATATCCATTTCAATGTTTTCTAACATGCTAAGGCTGGAAAGCTTAAAACTACAATTATTGGGCTTTCATTCATGTTTAGGTTGGCTCCTGTATGTTGCATTTACATGACACTTTGATTCACACATAAATCACATGCAGAGGGAGGCAGATTGCGGGATATCCACTGAGCTGGTGTGGATTACGGCTAAAGCCCTGGAACCAGCAGATTCTGGTGCATCAGCCCTGGAGAGGGAGCAGCAGCCACAGCAGCCACTTGCTCTATTGTTGTTGAGACAAGGGGGTCTGGAGGCTGAAAGTTGTTCCTGGGGTTCAGCCCAAACCCCTGAACTCAGCCCTCACAATGATTTTACAAACTCTCTTTCTGCTTAAACTAGCTAAGGTGACTTCTATTATTTGTAACACAACGCTGACCGATGCAATCACCCTGAGAAAATTTTTATTT